GAGTTTAGGCCATTTCCTTATTTTAGTTCTATTACAAGTTTGGGGACTGTCTGTGTTAGCTAAGTAAATATACCACCTGCCCAAAGGTTTCAGTCCCTTCACACAACTTGATGTAAAGTAGGCAAACAAAATTAGTTGCCTCCATATTGGTACACACACTTCTTGGACGCCGAAAGTTTTTTATTAGGCACCCTAACTCACACTTTTTGGAAAAGGTTGTGCACAGTCAGTCACTGACAGATAATAAAGGGGTACTGTTTTGTATGAGTTGAATTATTTCGGGTCGGTATTGCCCATCCAACTTATTTCACTCTGGGTATATACTTCAATTATGAATATCATATGGAACGTCTGAATAAAACTTAAATAATTTTACTATCAGTAGAGATTAGGCGAAACTTAACTCCCAATACTTCCCCAATCACTTTGTGTTAGTGGATGGTGTAGCAGGAATAAAAATACCATACTATGCAATTCAAGAGTCCTGCTGCACACTAACACAAATATAATTCCGTATTGTTTTGTCTGACCAAAATCAGACTTCCTCAGACAAGCAGTTTACAAGTGCAGCGGCACTCTTGAATTGCAGTAAATAATTTGATTGTTTTAATCTTTAACATTTATTTTCTCGTTATGAAAATGTCAACGAAACAAGGAAAAAAATATTGTTAAACTGGGAATTTACTACAAAGATGTAAGTGCACAAAGAGTGATGATTTGTGGGATGGTGCCATCGCAGGCCTATCATCTCACTGCGGCTGTAATAACATTGGTCAGACAATACCATTTTAGAAAGTTTTCGTTTTTTTCATAACGTATCAGTGGCTTTTTGTACAGAGACCCTAAGCCAGGGGTCGGTAAATCACGCCCGCGGGCCGGATCCAGCCCACTCGTGTATGCTGAAATTACGATTATAGTTTTTTATGAATATAAAATTGCGTTGAAAATCACACAACAATGACCCCGATTGTTACATTGTCATTCTTATTATTAGTCTAGCTGTTGGACCATCTTATTGAAGTAAATAAACTGTTTTTTAATTCATAGTTTTTAATATTGAGTTTAGACCTCCCGTCCAAGTAACCAAGTGTATTATCTGTAACTGGCCCACCCATGATATAAGCAAAGGCGACAACATCCTATGAAAATATTCAGCCTCAGATTTTTAGGTAATCGTTTAGTTATTTGAACCGTTTCTCGTAATCGCGATGAGTTATTTCTCAAGTACTAAAATGTCATTAGCAAGTGTAAGCCTTCGTTAAGCAAATTAGGCATGTAGGCCATTATAATCTCCACGGAATTTCATATTTCCTATATTTTTAAAGTTAATGTCCAATTCTCGTTTAGTTCAAAATATAATCTCAACGAAATTTTATAGTTGTGTCATATTTTTAGTGTCAATGTCCAGTTCTCATTTCTTGATGTTTATACAAAGAAAAATCTTTGTAATTATACAGTATAATTAGATTTGATGTTTGCTGTTCACAATTTCAATTTTGTTTTGAAGTCAGTTTTCAAAATATCTTAACCAGTCATTTGGGTAATATCACGAAAAAAGATTTTATCATCGTTTGACATAGTTTTGGAGTCTGATAATCTCTTGTGAATACGAATGTGTTATAAAATGAATTGTAACTTGATAACTGTCGCTAACTTATCCCTTTACACAACTTGATGTAAAGAAGGCTAACAAAATTAGTTACATCTATATTGGTTCTCACTTCTGGAGCTCCATTAATTTTATTTTAATATTCAACAAGGTCTCATGAAATATGCTTCATCTTGAATCATGCACATCCGGATATATATTTCCTATTTATCTCGGGGAAAGGAAATCCGGTAAGACGGTTCAATAGAACTGTTAATAGGATTTCAATATTTATCTTGAAGGAAAGCTGAGCGATAACACTTTGTATGTTTATTGTGTAATTTCTGTGCGGTGAAAAATAAACATCGATTCCTGTTATAAGTTGAACCGAACATATTTCACGTACAACTTAATCGTCGGTGACATTCAGCACATCATAGCCGGGGGCTGAAACACGTGTTTGGTAACAAGGGAGCTTACTTATAACTTGAAATACATATTTACTTAGGCTTACCATAATATGAAACAACAAAAAACGGGACAGTGCGGATTGGAAAAACCTTCGATTCTGTGATTTGTAATATTCAACTCATATGAATGTTATTGAGATTCAAATATTGAAAAACGTATTTTAAATAATTTAACTGCAATACAACCAATGTTAGATGCTAAATTCACGTATATTAACACATCATAATTATGACATAACAATATAAGTCTACCGAGCGAGACGCCGGGACTACTTGTTAAAATCAGGACGGTTCCGGCTAAACCGGGACGTATGGTAAATCTATATATATACTAGAAAAAATTAACTAAACATTGATCAAAATATATATATTGAGAACTGACTTCAAAGCAAAATTAGAATTTTAAAGAGACTTTACGGACTGTATACTGATATACCAGGGTTCATAAGTCATACTTCAAATTAGGTAAAAAAAAAAATTTCAATATGTTTTGTGCAACTAACGGCGGGTCAAATTAAATGAAAAAAATTAACTAAACATTGATCAAAATAAATCAAATCTTGTTGAGAACTGACTTCAAAACAAAATTGGAATTTTAAAGAGACTTTACGGACTGTATACTGATATACCAGGGTTCATAAGTCATACTTCAAATTAGGTGGAAAAAAAATTTAATGTGCTTTGTGAAACTAATGACGGATGAAACTAAGTAAATATTTTACTAAACATTGATTGAAATAAAACAAACCTTGTTGAGATATACTGATAACTGACTTTATAACAGATTTCATTTCAAAATTTGGCAAAATATCTAATACAGGGGTGTGACAACAGGCTGCGCGCGGGACACAATCAGGCCCGCCAAGTCATTTAGTGGGCCTTGTCAACACTCAAATTTTTCCCCATCGAGCATAAAAGTTTCGAGCCCAAGCCGACCGTTTATGTTTAACATGGGTAAAACTACATAAAGATTTTTGCCCTTGTCGCTGCTTTTAATCTTGCGCTGTTTTGTACGGTGTCTTTATTACTGTTAGGCTAAACGATAGCTTCTTTCTCTTCTCTTGCCGCCATGGCGCTCTGGTTGTGCTAATTATATAATTCGTTGTGTACAGAACATGGAAAAACATGGATGTCTGAAGTTGGTTATATGGCCTACCAACAAAAAAAACATCTCAAAACTTATTTCAGATTTTCTCAGATTACATAAAGTTTCCACGCCATTCATTTCTCAAATATCACGTTACACCATTATTCGTCATTATCATATTTATTTTCCTATTATTACAAAATAATCATAAGACGTTAACAATAGGAAAGGCTATAATTTTGACAGACTAAAATGATCTCATGTTCATTCTTATTTCACACCTCTACTCCAAACAAGGCTTTAAAAAAGCAATCACTCACTGCATTGGGAGGGAGATACAATGTTTTAGGAAGAGCCAGAATCTATCTGTTTTGACACTTGACATTTATTTTGCCAATATTGTGGGATTTTACCATGGATTTGTTTCATATTAGCTGTTATTTTTTCTGATATTGCAGTATTTTACTGTGATATTTATATTTACTCTTCTATTTTTGTATTTGCCTGTGTTTACTGATTTGTTTGTGTTATAACAGTATGGTACCATAAAAAAATTGGATTGAATTGGATTTCATCTTGGGCGTGGTGCGGACACGGGATTTGAAGACGAAATATGTAACCCGTGGAGACAATAATTGTTGTTCAACGAGTGGGACGTTGCGTCAACCTGGCATACGTCGTACGATTTGTAATTCACTTGTTTAATTTCTCGCCAAGACCTCTCATATAACGTCGCATTCACCTATTCATACGCTTAGTGAAGATCAAATTCAATTCCTATTTGAATATAGTCATGAATCAGGTTCGAAGGGGAACTGACGAAGTATGATATTGTATGGGCGAGTTGCAGCCTCCTATAAGTCAAACAGGGAGGTCAAAATTATGCTCCTTCATATTGACATAAAAGAAATTCAATTTTTTGGCTACAGATAAGACCAGCAGTGTTAAATAGACGTTCAAAATTAATAATGAAACCCGATGGACAGAGAAGCAGCATACAACCAAAGGTAGGAAGAAAAACCCAATTTCTTATATGCAACCTATTTAAATATAGTAATGAATCAGGTTTAAAGTAAAACTTGCAAAAACGACCCGCGGGCCAAATCCAGCCTGTTAGTTAATTCAATCTGGCCCGCCTGATGCTGTCACAACCAAACTAAAACCAAATTTGTTTCAGCTAAAACTAGCTCAAGGAATTTGTTGAGATTGCAATCAAATTTAGTTTTGACACGAGGCTTATTGTTTCCCACTTTCGCCTCTGTAACACTGTAAATATTGTTCATAAAATGTAACTTTTTACGCCACCGAAATTTTCAGCCTCTGGTTTAGAACAAATGAATATCGTTCGGGCCGGTAATAAGTTCTAGAACGGCTCATTTGTACATATTGTGGGTCGTTACCTACATTATTTTGTCAATACGACCGGGTCAGGTACCGTAAATATATGAACGGATATTTTTCTGTTGTTTGACAATAATACAGGGTACAATATATCTTAACCAGGTTTGTTGTTTTTTAATCAGCAATTTTTTTAAGTATTTTCCCTCCATTTAATACATCTGTTAGGGCTAAAACTATATAGGGTATCGATAAATTCTATTTGAAATTTTAAAAAATTCAAGACTTCATGGACACTCGTGGAGCCCCTAGGTTTCTCTCAGGGAGTCACGGGGCTCCGTACGGAGCACTTTGAGAACCTATGAGCTACAATACCAACGCTTTTCAACGATTCTTTATATTTTCTATAAATAAGTGTTTATGTGAAAATTTCGGAAAATAAAAGTGACTATATTCCTACATTTTACACAATTTCGATTCTATTCTTGCGTCACAAACCAAAGAAATGACGTCATACCTTCCGTCGATGGTTCGTCTCCACTTCCGGATGCTTCTTCCGCTTCGAACACAATCCTGTGGATCATGGGTCCTTCAGTGGTTGATGCTATTGTGGTGCTGAGGTCTTGTGCTGATGCTTTGGTGAGTAATAAAGTCGTGAAGATCAACAACGAATACATGATAGATTATTGTGTAATCTGGAAAAGAAATGGTTCTCATGATCAAACAGTGAGCGCGATGCAATAAATGGCGGTGATTTAAAGCGCGTTGGACAAACTGGGTCGACATTGAAGGTTAAAGGGCGCTTCAGAGGTGTATGTAGTAATATGGAGGTAACTAATTTTGTTTGCCTACTTTACATCAAGTTGTGTAAAGGGGACTGAAACCTATGGGCAGGGGGTTTTATTCACTTAGCTAACACACACTGTCTCCGAACTCGTGATAGAACTAAAATAAATAAAATCGAAATAAATTTATGGCCTAACCCTAACCTGATACACACATTACGGTAGTACCGCACAGGCACTGTTTATTTGTAACAAAATCGAACTCGTAATAGAACTAAAATAGGGGAAATCGGAATAAAATTATGATACCGTTAATTAAAGACCTCGGTTCGAATCCCACCCACCATCTTACTCAGAGTGTAATAAATGGGGCAGGAAATACAAAACATGAACAATTCCCGTATTTTCTAAGGTACAAACTGCAATCATGAATAGAAAAACAAAAGGACTAAAAAGTTCAAATCTAATCAAGGTATCTTACTCAAGAATGACTAAAACGGGCTAATTATTCAATCCTAATACCTTCTGAAATACCACTTGAGAAGAAAAGTTTATAATTTAAATTTGGGATTTTTGTACAAAGCTCCCTCCGCTATAATGCAGAAAGGAGAAAACATGAAATTTGAGAAAACATGAAATATTGTCGAATAAGGAAACATACTTTAAATTGGGATTATTCAAGTGAGAATTGTGCCAACTACATATACATTCATAGAGATTGGATTCAGAAAAGTTCATAGATATATAATTTGAGTGTGAGGGAAATATAATTTCGTTCCTACGATTAAAAATTCTGCTATTGCTCAGAGTATCCACTTTACTTTAGTTAAAAAAATCATGGAATTTTAGGCCCCGAATCCTGGTCATATTTTCCAACTTACGAATAAACAACAGTATTATTTTACTACAATGAATCCATTATAGATTGTATATTTAAAATGTATTCTATATTAAACAGCCTGAAGTTGATCTTGGTGCTACGGCCTCATTTTCTAGTGAATTCAAAGTATTCCCTGAACTTCCGTTTATAAAATAACAAGTTTTGCAATAAAAATTTAGTACTAAAAAGAGCATTGTAAAATGTTCATGTTACACAATGATTGCACAATTAAGATGTGCTTTTAAACAATCTACGGTTGTGCACGAACTGATTTTATCTCGTTCTGGTTTAAAATAGTTAAACAGCCCGTTTTAATTTAAAGTTAAAAAAAACTATTTAGAATGATTAAGTGATGATTAATCGCAATACAATCCATAGTAATTCATCGTATCTAATAATATATCTACACTTGGCAAATAAAAGCGAATCAAAATTGGTAAAAGATCGCTGAAGCTGTGTCGTATCTCAACATTTATTTATTTATGCTGTATATATATATTGTTGCTAGACCGGTAGAAAAATAGCGAATGTCTGTAATTCGAAATATCAAATATAAATAGAACAACATGTTATTTAAACCGGGTTAAGTTAAGAAGGGAAGAAATTCTGCATAATACAATGTTTATTCACAATGTTAAACTATGACAACTGCTGTTACCTAACCGTTCGAATACATGGCAAATGTTGATTGAAAACTTGGAATTTAAAATCTTAAATAAATACGGAATAATCAGAACACAATTTCATTTTGGCAAATTGAGTTTAAGAACTATTTTATAAATCAGACCAAGAGTGTCCGGAAAGAAATTCATTTTCAATTTACATTCTACCTTTATAATTCACAACAACAACAGTCGAATTCATAATTTTATATTATCTCAAATAGTGAATTATTGAATGAAATACAAACATTTTGCGATTCTTTGTAATGACGATTTAGATAAATTAAATGTGCAGTTTATACAACTGCTGTTACTATTATAAATGTTCAGCAAAATAACATTCTACGTTAGCGTATGCAACATTTCTGTTTGAGGGAAAGACCAATAATGAAGTTGTAAATGCCTGGGTCCGCACATCTTAAATTTTCCTCAACTTTCCGTAACTTTTTTAACACCCTGTATACTTGTATTCAATGCATCCGTATTCCCCAACACAAAGAGGAGGAGTTAGATACACGCAGGGGTGTAAAATCGTATATTTGACTTGAAAACCTTCTTTTATCGGAATTGCCCATAAAAAAACGATTTGGGTGATTTCAAAATCATATGATTGACGGAAGATTTACTTCTGACAGAATAAAATAGAGAACACTAACTAACACAATGTTTATCACAATTATTCTGCATGAGCGAATTTGATTTCTACGAATTTACAATTGCCTTGAAAAATTTCTCTTCTGGAACAGACCATTTCAGAATTTTTCGATATTTCATATTCGAAACGATTATTTTAGAATGTATTCGAAATACTAAATTAGTGGGTTTGGCCATCTCACACGCCACTCTAATCATATAACATCATCATTGTTTTCGTTTAACTGTGTGTCCTTTCAAATTTCAACTAAATATTTCCAACAGTCGGACTATACAACACTCCTACAGGTCGCAGCTTGAATATGCCTACGTCGTATGATTGCCATACAATTCTCCTCGGTAAATATGTAAGTCCTATTCTATGTTCATCATCAAGAATACCAAATCTAGTCGTGCATGGCAATAAAAACCTTCTCTGCTGCAGTCCTACTCTGATTAAATCGAAGAAGACAATGGATAATTAAATCGTTCCTTATTCTATGGGCGTCGTCTGCCTGCTGTTAAGTCACACGGGCGTTTTTATATGCGCATTATGACACCACAAACAAATATTCAGGTGTTGTTAAAATACGAGGACAATAGCCGATAAGTAGATGCACTTCCATATTTAATACATCGTAATGCGATTCAAGTACATCCATTATTCTGTAATTATGTGATACATGCCATAAAGGATTGATTGCAAAATTAAATAAATTGGAAACAAATCGACCAAGTTTAAAGTAATGTCACAAACTCTCAACTGTAAAAAGTACAGATGAAAGTTTCATTCGCTTCCTGACTCAAAATTCTACGAATAGATTGGCAAAACTTTGACTCTAACGCACCTAACTCCAAAAACCAATTTGTCATAATTCAGGTACAAATACTACGGAAGTCACTTGACTAGTCCCTAAACTCGTAATAGAACTAAAATAAGGGAAATTCGAATATAATTATGACCTAACCCTAACCTGGTACACATACTACGTCCCGGTGTCCGCTATCGTTGTTCGCATACTACAGGAGTACCAAATTTTTGGGTAGAATAAAAGCCTTACATGTTTTGGTCAAATATGTGCACTTCGATTTTCCACCGATATATGTTTTAATTAATTTAAATCTCCCGACTCCCAGAAGTTTGAAACTGAATAATTGTGAAATTTAGATCCCACAGCCAACATAACGCGGTATCGATAAGTTACCGTAGCGTCACAATTCACAAGACACATCTGTAACCGACTGGCTATCTCACACCGTACCTGGTAACCGTTACTGGTAACTGGAAAGGCCGCGGTTGGCAATATAATCAAGCCGTCTCATAGACTTTCTTCTCCCCGAGATAAATATGAAAACACCTCAACTTGAGTATTTTAGAAAAACCACGACGAAGTTTTCTTTTTAATTATCAGATTCTATCGTCTTCACTTCAACTTACTTCTGCCTGTCCGTTCTATATCATTATGCTGTCATAATCAATTACATAATTAGATTATGAAAGTGCGGGAAAGTTCAAGAGCAATTGAATCAAACTACATTATGTCATCACAAACGCCAATAAAGCTTTTAGCGACCTTTATGTTTATGAGTACATAAAGGGTTCAATCGTATTGCTATTTAATGTTATAAACACGTCATAATGAGATACTTATATGCACCAATGGTAAGGAGCAGGTTTTTAATGACAAAACGAACTAAATTTTAATCTAGCTTGCACAAAATAAAGAAAATTAAACGAAAAAATATTTATTCTATGACTAAATAAAAGTAAGCCATATTTAGTGCGATGTATTGTGGTTTAAGGCTGGACCTGTCCTTGTTGGCGATATAAAATCATCGGGTTTACCGAGGTAGGGATTTCATGTTTGATTTATTTATAAGCTTTTCATATATCTGCCTAAAAAAACTATAAAAAAAAAAACTTTTAGGACAGTGATTACCAAACCGCGCCTGCGGTAGTGCTTGTTATTGCTCGGGTATTTCATGAGCTAACTATTATAATTATTAATTTCATTATATAACAAACTACGATGCTTGTCGTATCTAAAATAATCTCGCAGACTATCTTAGTGCCTATTTCTCAAAGTAATATCTCCCAGACCGCGATATACCTCCGCTGGCCCACGGTCAATCAACTTTGGGAACGAACCACTGTCTTAGGCATCAGTAAGTGCTTGCAAAATTATATAAAAACTTTCCACCTTCCTGTGCCTCCATTGTACAGTATACAGTGTTTTAAAACTTGAGTCTAAAAAGCAATTCAAATTTAAAAACAATTCCTACATTTACTAGCGTACGTTCACCTTTCGAGTTGTGAATTATTCATTTGCAAACTGTTTATTTTAAGAGCTTATCGTGGTCATGAAAGTTCATTGCGTTACTCATTGAAGAATTAGTATGGCAAAAAAAAATATTTAGTCAAAGAAATTCGAATATCAGATTTTTAGGATAATTGGAAAATTGTACAATAACTACATAAACGGGTGTCCGTAAAGTCACTTCTTAATTTCAATTTTATTGTGAAATTAGTTCTCAAAATATCTTAACCAGGTTTGTTGTTTTTTAATCAGTAATTGTATTTTTACTCATTTAATACATCTGTGAGGGCCAAAACAATATATGGTATCGATAAATTCCTTTTGCAATTTTAAAAAATTCTATGAACTCTATGAACAACCTATACATATATATATATACCAGTATTCATTCAAAATGAGGTCTCGGGTTTGCATTGT